ACTTATGCTGAATCATTTCTTCTTTGGAAAGTATGTCGGAGGCCCTCTTGATGATTTCCACCTTGCTTGTGGTGTTGTAGATTCTGATGGCATACATTTCGTCTGTTGCAAGGTGATTAGAATTCCCGAAACAGTTACTTAAATTTGGGAGGACTAATAGTTCGGTGAGATAGGGCTCATCTGGGTCTAACTCGGGCGGACTACTTGGCTGATTGATGCAAGAATGTTCGTAATATGGATTTTCAGGACTAACGTAGATCATGGGGATTTCTTCCGACAGTGGTTGTTCGGCTTGCTGTTCCACTGTGTCCTGATACAGTGTCCAAAGATCTCTGAGCGCTGACTTCTCTTCAGCATCGGCAGGTGGTTCGAAATGTTTGGATACAAAAGCATGAAACAACTCTTCTGGATTGTCGGAGTTCTGATCCTCATTTGATTGTTCCTGAATGGTGGACAAACGATCGCTCACGGCCTCTTGGATTATCTGCTGCCCATGACTCTCTTCACCATGTGAGGCCGCTGTTGCGTCAAGGCTATCACACAGTCCTGAAGGGTTATCGCTGTTGTGCAACAGTTGGATGAACGCTGTGCTCTGCCAATCGTCTCCCACGATTTCTGTGAGATTCAACTTTGTGTCCTCTGCCACAAAGACCTGTGGCTCGGTGAATTGATTGCTGTTCCAGTACAGCAATGTCGAATGCGTTGCATTAATCACACTGGGCAATGATTTACAGCCTTTACCAATGCGGACCATATGGCATTCGTCAAAACACCAGATGTGCTCGATCATATAGTTCAAAGCTTCCAGCAGTTGTCCATGTGTCTTTGTTGCGTGCGAAACAACGGCTTCACCACTCTCCTGAGAAATCAGACCTAGGGTCACGTACTTGCGAGGCTGAATTTCTTGAGTGAAGCGTTTCACCACGGACAAAGCTTCCTTAGTGGGCATGTTCACGAACACTGTGAATGAGACATGTGCAAACAATGTGTGCCGGACATCTTGCAAACGGCAAGGTCTGGGTTGACCGTTGAGGCGAACAATGACAGTTCCATCTTCAGGTTTGTAGGCCACAACTTCTACAGGTCCTCGCCACCCGGACACGTCCTTAGTGGAGGGTCGGTGGTAATCCACGAGATCACCCTTGCGATACACTGTTTCTGTGGCGGCAATGGACCGAGATCGCAACGCACGTGATGTTCGGGCAAGACTGGTTGCTTGGATCATAGCCTCGAGAGCTGTTGTCCGAATTTTATGCCGAGCTCGATCAGACACTTCATCTAGTTCGGATCCGGACACGTCTGTTTCCTCCGGCAATGGTGGCAACATTGCGGGGGTGCGGCCATAGATGCATTGATATGGGGAAACACCTCCTACATGCACTAACGAGTTCCCTGCGAAAACGGCCTCTGAAAGCAAGTTCTCTATGCTTGAGTTGATTCCTTCTCGGATCAACTGGCTGTCCAAGCAGTGCAGCGTGACTCGGAGGATAGCTCCCCTTCGTTCAATGAATCGAGCGTGTTGCCCTGGGGCTCGTATCTTCACCAGTACACCTTGCCTCTTTAATTGAGCTTGCACTCTATCACTCGTGAGACCGGATTCTCCATCTGTGATTAGTTGCTGCATAGGTCCATGGATGGACAACCAAATGCGATTTAGTGCAGTCAACAGTTCTTGTTCGTGCTTGCTATGGATGACTGTTGCTGCCTGCCAACGGGTTCCGCAACAAATCAAATGAAAAATCACGTGTTCACGATAGAACATTAGATCGGCTTCAACATGTTCGTTGAATGCTGTCGTCATGCGTAATGTTGGGATGGTCTCGTTGGCGGGCTTAGCCCATTTTCGGCATTCCCTACAAGTGTCAACTACTTGAGGAATTTTGTCAAGCACTTCCTTAGGCAAGCCGGCAGCTGATAGCACACGCTTCATGGCCTCTTTGCTGCCGTGCCACCATCGTAAATGAAGTTTCCTTAGTTCACGAATCTGGGTGTTCGGAGTACTAGTGCTCAAAGCCTTTAAGGACCGTCCAACATTGAACCGAGACCAATCTCCTGGATGTTCCGTGCCAGCATCTTCATCCTGAAAGGTTCGGCGATTCCGGACAGCTGATGTACGTGGTTGAAATTCTCTGGTTTGTTCGCCAGGGCGGTATGGAATTATATCAGTGGTGGTCGTTAAAAATGGTGTCAGGTCTATATCTTTGCTGGGATGGAAAATGGTTATCAGTGGATTAGCAATTCCAGGAAGGATGCCTTTGGGGTTATCTAATTCTGTCCAGCTTATTGCTAATTCCAATTGATACCATCGTTGATTAACCCGTGCCCAAGTGGTACGAAACTTGTGATCGTTGTGTTCGGCTCTTGGCACGGCAAAAGTACTTGATTCATTATGTACAACCGTCGGATTACCGTTTACTGCATGTGTCCACGACCTATATTTGCAGAGCCTGATGATCTCTGGCGGTGGCTTCTGCGCTACAAGGCCGTCAGGTGTGACCCTGCTTCCGCTGGCTTGAGTTTCGTCTACTTCTCCAAGGTCGGTACCGTCGGCCAGCTGTGGTTGCAGGTCCGTGGATACCGACGCTGACGCCGGTTGGCTGGGGGGTCTTGGATGACGCCCAGTGCGAGGGACGCCTGTGCGATGAATGATAACGGCATGTTTGCAATCTTCGTCATGAGTGTGAGCTGGGTGACCATACGGCTTATGCTGCCTACATCCTATGCATCCCCAAACAATCGGCTCGACATCTGGCCACAAACACTCCCCTCGGACTCTATTGTGTCTTGGATCGGTCTTGCTTTGTCGGCCACGGCAGCCAGGACATCTCCTCCATGATTCATCAAGCACTGGATCTCTACCTGAAGAAGTGTCTGTTCCGCGGGTCGGATAAGCAAATTGATCATGATCTATCGAAGTCTCCAAATGCACTTTGAGCAGGATGATGCCATAGCAAACCTTTTTTGCTAGGGCCCATGGCCACTGTTCACAAGCTTTGGCAGTCCCACCGTCCAATGTGTCGTGTTGGTGGCTTCGATCACACTGGACATTCTTGAAAGGTTCGAGCAATTTGGGGTGATTAGCCATGATGTCCGTCGGCTTCTTGGCAGGCAAATTATTGGGGCCCACTTGGCCCAGCATGCACTGGTGGATGGTCACGCACAGAGTTGATGCTAAGTAGCACACGATGTTCCACGGGTGTTCCTCATACAGCCAGCTACCTTGTGGCTGCTCAAGGAGGAAATAGCGTTGATTCCGGTCCTGGTGCAACGCCAGTTCCCCACAAAACCGGCCATGAGGAGCTGATTCCTGATACGTCCTTTCCCAACCTGCTGGATCTATCTGATAGTTCAAGTTGGAATGCGCACCGAATGGGGAACACCTGGGCGACATCACTGCTACCAGTGGCTTATGATCGAAAAATATTGCATCACCATCTGTTGATCTCTTGGGTCGTTCAGGTCTACATTGGTCACCAAATCAAAATTATGCCCAACCTTGAGATGTTTGCGGATTCCTATCCGGGATGTTCGAGCGGAACCGCCACAAATTTCGACTATGTCTATCTTTGAAGCTAGTGGCGCAAGTACGTTCAATGCAGTCTGGATGTCGGTAGCATGGTAACAGTGCGCGCTGAGCTCCATGCAATCGAAGTCTTGCATCACGTCTATGGCATGATACAATGCTGTCTCCTGTTGTTGCCCGGGCAACTCATCTGCTTCGAGATTCATGAAAGGCGCAAGAGCACTGTGATCCGACCCACAGTCATCGTGGTGGTCTTCCACATGAACCTGTCGAGTCTTCGGCTTCACTCCTGCAGCTTTCATCTGCTTAAGTCTTTCCTTCTGGCGGATTCGCTCTTCAGTTGGGAAGCAAGGAATGGGAGAATCTGTTGCGCTCTGGATGAGTGGATCTACTGCGCTACGACTCGCATTATTTGAGTCACTCGGCTCCTCACAGAAGTGGCAGAAACCTGATGTGACTGGCATGAGCAATTGGCAGCTTTTGCAAGCTACATATGCATCTTTGCTATTGTCAGCGTCGGATGAGCTAGGTTCATGCTGATGGCGGTCATTAGGATTATTGCAGTCGGGTGTGATATGGTGCACCCTGTGAATTTGCATGTGGCGGGAACTTCCCGCTCGCTGATGGATGCAGCGTGCCCCAAAGGCATCTTTCGAGCCCTCCCAAAAGGACGTTTGGGGCACCTCAGTTCCTTCAGTCATCAGTCTCGACAGCACGGCCAATGCAATCTGCTGCTGCAACTTGGCTCGTGGTTGGCGAGCGATTGAGGTCTGAGTTCCTTTCCAATCTAGCTTGTGTTCGCTCTGGGTAACACTGCACTTGCACAAATGGGATTCGATCTTAGGCGTGCTCAACAGGACAAAGCAGATCTTGCTTGGTTCTTTTTGGCTTTGATCCAGTTTCAGGCCGAAATGGCAAGCCCTATGGTATGACTTATGGAAGTTATGCTTCTGAGTCAGTACCTGGAAATTTTCATGGTTCCATGCTGCTCCAAAAGCTCCGAATGCACAGGCCATCATGTCCACCTCACTTGCCAACTGCAACCATCGGCAAGTCTGTGAGAGCGCCGCATGCATTCGTTCCTTTGGAACATGTCGACCGATCTGTGGCAGGTCTATCCAAAGTAAATCATACTTGCCTTGTTTAATGTCATGTGCGACTTGTGATGTGTTACCTACATTAATCTGTTGTGGAGAGTATCGAACTGCCTTCCAGCCTCTATCCTGCAATGCACTGGTCAACACAGGAGACTCTTCAAACACCACGGCCTGCGGCTTCGAATCTTTTTGCTGAGGTGTTTGGGCCGCCTGAGCATGTGTGGATCTTTCAAGAGAAACGTTCGCTTGAACGGGAAAATTTACTGAAGAGTCTAAATCAGGCGGGTTATGTGCGGGATTGCCAGGATGCTGGCTAATCGGCTGGGTTGATACAGGGCTTGCTGTATTATCGAGATTCGGACTATCGTTGGTGTTGGCGTCTACATCGATGATGATGGGGCACTCGGTTGCGATGGCTGATATGGATCAACATGCAACACCATGGGCTTCGGCTGAACCCCTGCCTTGGTGCCTTCCTGGAGTTCTTTCCAATGGTCAATCGTCATGATCAAGTGACCGGACGGTGCTTTGGACAATGGACACTTCCGGCATTGTTGCAAATCTTCGATAGACCCTCCAGGCAACGGCACATACAAAGCTTCTTGATTCGCATGCATGCAAAGCGTGGCTGACAGCGACGTGAGGGATTTGAGGCCCAAAAGCGCGGGCAATCGGGCACCGCTTCCCCCCACGACAGATGCCTCAAAGTAATTGAGACACACTTTAGTTCCGCCTACCGACAGATTACACGCAATTGGGATGGACACCGTCCATTCGCACTTCTGCTGGCCTTCACCGACTCCCTGGACATACATCGGCTTCATCTTCCACTGACGAGGCTTGAATCCATTTTCAATAGCCTTTTGTGCGAACATTCGGGCTGTGTTCTCACCGATCAAGTTCGTGTATGCTCCTGGGTCAATGATGACGCCGGCGCGATCGGGTATCGATATCGAATGGTATGCTGTGGTCAATGCGGCGCTTTCAGTCGGCCACCATGGGTATGCATTGGATGCCTGCTCTTGTTGTAAAAACGGTGTGCCTACTTCTGGCGATTCGCTATTGATTCTAGGCGCACGACCAGGCGGCGTGAAGATGTTGAATGTGTCCGGCAACTCACGATCGCGTCTTCCGGTCTGGTCAGGCGTGACCGGCCTTGACGCTTCCTGTGGCCTCTGCGGGCCGTCCGTGTCAGCAGGCACACGGAACCGTGCAATGACATGACAACTGCCTCGGCAGACGGGACAAGTCAATTGCTCGCCATGACACAAATATGATGTCCAGCATTCCACATGATACAGGTGTTTACAAACCAGGCGCAGCACCGATTCATTTGCTTCCATCTTTTCACAACACAAAGGACACGTGTCTGCAGCACCATCATATTCAGCCTCAGCTGTGTTCACGTTACGAATACGGTCCTTGCGATGTCGACGAAGGCGATCAATGTCGCGCTGAGTCTGGTGGAATTCGGCCATCTGAGGTCGGCGCTGGTGATCCAATTGAGATCGTACCTGCAGAGCGGGTCGATTTCCGGGCATGTCACGATAGTGCTGCCTCTGGTATGCTACATGCTGCTGAACAAAATGAAAATCTTCAATCTGCATTTGCGCTGGTCCTTCCAGTTGCGACAACTGAGGTTCACGGAATGTTGGAGGAGACGGCATTTGTGGTTGTGCCCTATACTCAAGAAAACCAAACTCAGGTCTTTCTGCAAATGCCGGAACTGTTGGCGGTGCCAATACCGGAAATGGCAGAAGGTTTCTCAACTCCGAAGGCATCTGTGCTATTGATGCCCAATTCATGCTATGTCCGACCGGCTCATGGGATGGGACAGCAGGTGACCCAGGCGCAATCGGCTCATGTTCGGAAGCATTATGCGACGGGGATGGTCTATTCTCTGGAGGGACATGCTCGGGTTCCCACGATCGGCTTGCTGGATTCGAAGGCTGTTGCCGTCCAAACATACCGAAAGGAAACCATGAGGACTGAGGCGGAGCTCGGCCGGCTGGTCCATAGCTTTGCGGCGCGGATGTCGGCACCGACCAAGACTGAGATGTCTGACTTCCCCACGGGTCATGCTGTTGCAACGGGTCAGTCTCATCGGACGAAAACATGTATGCATGATATGTCTGCGAACCCGACTCCGTATCTTCAGCATGTGTGGCGAAAGTCACTTGGGATGCAGTGGACACATGATAGATGGGCTGCAAATCCGAATCATCAATGAGACCTGCCAGGGGACCTGCGAATGTCATGTCTGTGTGGGATGGTCGAGCAAAGAACGTGGTAGCCGGATTTGATCCCGAGTGCGCACGCCTCGGGCAAGAGCCGGCTAAGTGTTCCGTGCTCCCGCATTCAAAGCAGCGCATGAGCTGTCCATCAGGGCCCTTGGGGTTTGATCGACGCCCCTTGCCCTTTCCTGGGGTCCGCTGGCCTCGGAATGCAGGCAGTGCCATCTGCACCTCCGCATCATCCATCTCTGCCAGCATGGCAGTGACAGGATGTTTTCCTTTCTTGCCCTTACCTTTACCAACAGTGAAAGTGGAATGACCCTTTTTTCCTTTTCCTTTTCCCCGAAACTTGTGGAAGCGTTTTGCATACCTTCGGACTGCCCGGGTGGATTTACCCATAAATTTCCTCGATTTATGTTTGGCTTGTTTGTATGCCCAAAACAGGGATTGTGCAACACGATTGGGGTCTTGACCTTCCGCGTCCACAGAGCTGCACTCACCTGAGCTGGTGTTCGAGTCGGTGTCAATGTCATCGTCCTCGAACGTGGCATACGTGTCGACATTCGACGGATAGGACGATGAGGAGGCGTTGAACGCTGCCTGCCCCGACCATTCATGCGATGTCGAATGCTCATACTGGTTCCATTGGTCATTAGATGGATGTTCACGCCACGACTCTTCCTGGGTCATGAAAGCATGTGAGGGGTTCGGACCGGATATTCGAAGACCTTCCCTCAAGTTTCCCGGGGTTCTCTCCAGGATGTGTCCCATACGGCGTAAACTGGTTTTCAATTGGGTCAATTCGGCTTCGTTTGCAGGAAGCAATCCATTGAGTGGTGCAAGAAGTTGAATGAGTTGCTGGTCACTGATGCCAATTGCCCGCAACAAAATCCACGCAACACCCTGCACCCCGACCACGGCTCCCCCCTGCTCAGCGGCTCTGGCTCGAATGCTGTCGAATCGAACGAGGAGTGAGTCAACTGGTTCGTTTCCTTTTCTATTGAAGCTCATGAGTTCTGTGATGGCTTGAACGCGAACCTCCTCCCCAAGATTGCCAAACCGTTCCTGCAGCGCATGCATCAGGTAGGTTAATGGATCTACTTGGGCACCGTTTATTAGCCCACCTGCAACTACTGCTTGGGGGGGGGAATTTGCCTACTCAGCTCACGAGCAGCACCGCGAAGTGTCAGCATCACGGCTGCTGCCTTTCTGGCTGGTTCCAAGTCCGATGCAATTGACCAAAGAAGGATGTCACGTGACCACTGCCGGAACGAGTACGTGGATTCCATCTCAGGTCCCCACGCAGGTGGGGTTCGAAGTGCATTGCCAGCGCCTGGGTACATGAAGCATACGGAGGTCGTGACCAGGAAGGCAAACATGCACAGTTGCATCATCGGATGGGTTGATGCGAGCGAATGCAATCTGCTCAAGACGGACTTCGGCTGAAGTTCGCCGGGGGCAGAGTGCGTGGCATTTCCCAACGAATCATGAATGCTCTTGGTTGAGTCGGCAAATGCTACATCAGCCATGCAAACAAGTCCCAACAAGGTCACACTTCCTAAGGCGAGACACGTCAAAGTTTGCAAGACTGCCTGAACAGGAATCTGGGCCTTCCTGTCGCTGAGAGTCAAGAACGAATCGGTGGTTCGCACATGTGTGTTCATGTGTATAGGTTGGGATTGATCATGCTCATGTGCCTCACATGTTCCCCTGGTACCGCTCACTTTGGGGGTAATGTGACATGGTTCGACCTGGGGTTCACCAAAACTCGGTTCAACTCGTCCTTTCGGATAGGTGCTAGATCTAGGGAGACTGCTCTGGGACCCGGGCACAAGATCTAAACCCTCGCCGGTCTGAGTGCCCGGAGTGTGTTCCCCCGAGTTCACCGATTCAGGCCCTTTGGCCTGCGCACCTACCCCACCGTTCGGAATGAACTGCTCGTCATACTCGTTCACCTTTTGCTCGTTCCAGCACAGCTCATCGTCAAACATGTCAAGGCACTGAGGTCCAGCCCCCCTTGCTGTTGCACGAGGTACAGCCCCCATTCTGACAGCGCTTGCGAGTGATGCAGCACTTCCAAAAGGATCTGTGAGCGACTCTGGAAAATACTCCGCTTCATACTCTTCGATCATCATGTCATTCCAAGCGGGTTCATCGGGTTCATCAACAAATTCGTACAACTCAAGTGAAAAGCAATGCACTTGGCCACGGTCAGTTTCACAACTGGCAATGCAAGTCCCACAATGCAGCTGGCCATACACAGTCTCGCAACAATCAATGTGCTCGACACTAATGCACTGCCCAATGTATTGTTCAACTGAGTTGCAGCTGTTGGGCTTTCCGCCGACGAGTTCATCAAAACTGGCGACATCGCACCATGCACGTCCGGTGGAAGCAGGGCTAAAGCTCAGAGGCTGTGCAAGATAGCAACCAACTGAACCGAACTGCCTATCCACCGTCGGAACTCGACCGGAAGCCGAAAATTGGTTTCTGCTAGTCACCGTAGACTCAATGAAAGGAGGGGCCACTTCTGTTGTCACAAAATCGCAATTCCAGAAACAGTGTGTGCTCGACTCGCTCTCGAAGTTGTTCGACGCTGGAGCACTGCCACCGTTCCCATGAAAAAACAGGCCGTCCGCTTTCAAGAAAAACTGTGTGATTGGGCTCGAGATATTGAATTCGTAAAAGGTGTGGAGTGCCAGCAATTGGTGTGTGATCCACGGGGGAGGTCCACCCAACCGTCGCAGCACTCGCCGGCCTTGGCGCCTCAACCGACTGTAGTCACGCGCACGGACGTCAGACGAGTAGAGCACCGGCCCGGGAGCATGGCAAGCCCCGCTACCAAGTTCGGTAGCAACTGTACAAGTGAGCAAAAGAAAGATCAACGCTA